TTGCAACGCAAATTAAGCTTATCCTGTTATAATTAGTCTAAGTTTTGTTTCTGGAGATAACATTCTTAATCAATTATGTTCTTTTTCAACTATTCTATATCTTAGAAGTATGACAAATATACAAAAGAAATGATAACAAACGAACCTTATTCCTTGAAGAAGGACTTTTAAAATCTATACTCAACGCCATTCCAAGCTAATCCCTTGAAAATCTTTTCAACTCACACCGCCAATTACCTTTTGTTTATTATGTAATTATTAGCAAGAATTAATGACGAATTAAATGAAGTTTCATTTTAAAAGAAATACTCTTTTAGAAAAATTTTACATTGGTACCTACTTTAAATATCTAAATTTTTACACGAAATAGGATATTGACATATATCTTTTCTTTTAAAACAATTGTAGTATTCAATTTTATTGTTTCAATTAATGCGTTTACACTCTTTCAATTGTCTGTTTTAGAATTTAACAATGACAAGTAGATATAATCGACATTGTAATAAAGTCAAACGAAAGAAATATATTGTTCAATATTGATTTTTAAAGATCTAATTAATTACCTGTCATTTTGCTGTGAAAATAAACAAGATTCAATAAGCGAATCATTGTGACAGATTGCAGTATATGACATGTATGGTCAAGCATTCTCTTTGGAAAAAAATAATTTGTATGTTATTTTGCGGATAATCTCGATTCGCTAAATAAATTTATGAAATTTATTTATTTATCTAAACAATTTGTTTTATCTTTTACGACATATGAACCATAACTTATCACACCTTTTGACTAAGACTAGTATGATAAATCAACTACGTGTCTCAAACTTATTAAATTTGTATTTAATCTAAAGTCCAGTCAATTTGTGAGACAATACTGAAGGTAATGTAAAAGAGGAAAACACAGAAAGGTACAAATCAACCTTTTATTGCGACAAAAGATAAAATTTGCATATGACCAATTTTTGAAAATCCAATGTAGTGGGGAAAGTCCAAGAAGACCACAATTCCTGTAAAAAAATCCAAAACCGCTCACATTACTAGAATAACTACATGAATCATTTATTAGGACATTTTAATTATAGGACTAGATGTCATTAGTATTGTAACTCAGCCTTGTCTACTAAAATATAATTATTGAAAAATTCCATTATGTGTATTTGTGATCGTTTTTGTGTAACTATAAAGGTTATTTTCTCACACGAAGTCCGGTTAAACTTCCTGTAGACTTTACAGGGAATAACTGAATAATTGTAGGATTTTCATTGATCACTTTTAAATTACAAACACAAATCAGAGAATCTCATTGGCTAATTTAAAAATAATATAACAATCTAAAGGAACTTTAGTATAAACATCCGTATTATGAAATTATCTAAAGCAGCATCGGAAACAAACGTAAACGGCAAATTTCCTCAAAATAAACAACTTACGCTGCTTGTATTTTTGTTTTCATTTATTCTCTATTGAAAGGCTTATTGAACTTAACATTTACCAATGACATTCTATAAGTTTTGTCAAAAATGAAAAAACTACCTATAATCACGATTCCGAAGACACATGTATATACCAAAATAAATAAATAGATAAATAAATAAATAAATAAATAAACCCTTTCTTGTACAGTCAGTAGGTCATGTTCATTGTTCGTTCATTGTTCATGATATATCATTATGATTATTGAGGTGTTTAATTGATTTAAATCACGTAGGGTAGGTACATCTACTGAAACATGTCAGTTCCATTTAGACTTGCAGTGTTTCCTCGATCAAAATATTTAATGTTATTTTTATGTGCATCTGTTAGCCGATAAGCCGTTAACTCCGTACTAGTTTGCGTAAAAAAACAACAACAGTTTGTGAAGTGAGTATTTATTATGCCATGAAAAAACAGGTAGATGATAACAAATTGTTATCCCCATATCTGGACGAAAACTTCCGCCACGAAACCAAACAGTGAGATCTGGGATGCGGCCAGATTCAGTGTTTCCTAGATCAAATATTCAATGCCATTTAAAAACTCCACAAAATATAACCTATGCAGATAAAAGCAGTATTACCTCGTCCGGGTACCTTTTTAAAGATACTTCTTGTTTACACTACTCTCTCTAACTATTTACAAATTTCATTCACGACAATAAACTAAACAAAAGTAGTTTAGATTAAGAAAGTGGTACATTGACTTTAACCAAGTTTGACATCTAACATTTATCTGTAACTGTTGGTTTGCAACAATATTTTATAACTCATTAATGTATCAAGATTTGTTTAAATATTCCATTAATCAATTATAAAGTTACGACCAATTATAGTTAGATTATCAGTGAAAATAAAATTATTTGACCTTCAAAGTCAAGGTGAGAATTGAGTCAAGGTTTTTTTTTAGTTAAAAATTCATGAATGTTCTGACCTTAAGATGTGTTTTAATAATTAGTTAATCAATTTATTAATAACAAAGTTAAATCCAGCTACAAAAATATAAGAGAATTTCATTAATTTGACCTTGACAGTCAGTCAAAGTTGAAATGGACAGTAAGAATATATGAAGTTTACCGATACTTAATATCGTGGAACCAGGCATAAATCATATAGATTCGCAAGTTGCATAAAACAAGTTGCCACGAACTAAAAGAGCACTGTTTTGCTTTAGACAAATGAATCGGTGTGAGAGCTCTTGCATTCGAATTTCATAAAACGTCTACATGTATCCAATTTATTGCATTTATCCATGTATTTACTTAAAGAAAAACTAGAATACATGTCTGTTTTGAAGGGAAAAAAACATGCTACCAAAATAAAAAGTATTCGAACCAACAGCAGTGAGAGGCAATTGATTTGAAGTCGTCGACCTTAACCACTCGACAATGGATACACCTAATAGTATAACTTTAAATTGAAATTTGTGATTGTATGATACAATTAAAATGAGTTATACTCGAAAATAAATGAAATTTAAAAATAAACTGTTAAATATTTTTAGGATAATTTGATTGGTGAGCAGAATACTGAAATCTATCTAACGAGTACAAATCTCTCAAAATACGTCTTTAAGGCGCTGCTTCTTAATTCACCCCATCTCTTTATCATATACATCGTGACAAACAGACATGATATGCTAATGGCGGATGTCCCATGGTGGCAAACAAGGTGTAAACGTAGCATTTCATTCCAACACAAATTTAGCTTATCATATTTGAAGTCTAAATTGTATTAAATGAAATTACTTTCTAGTGATCTTTTTCAACTATTTGATATTATAGAAGAAGGATACGTATACTAAAGCAACGATAACAAAACAAACCTTATTCTTTGAAGAAAGCCTTTTAAAAAATATATATACACAAGGCCATCCCAGCTACTCCTTTGAAAATCCTTTCAAATAGCAACGCCAATTATCTTTTGTCACTCATCTCATTATCTGCGAGACTAAATGATAATAAAAATAAAGTTTAATTTTGAATTAAATACCGCTTTACAATAAAACTTTACACTGGTACGCATTTGAAATATCGAAACTAGTGCAACAAAATATTTCTATATAAAATTTAAAAAAGAGTTATGAGAATTATTAATAAAATATTATTTTCTGCGTTACTCCTCTGATTGAAGATATTATTCCTATTCCTAATAACTCCTATAAATCAAAGGCACGAGTATCGGACCTGGGAAGAAAAAATATGACCAGATTGATAAAAAAAACCTGTGTTCATCTTAAAAGTGTCAAAAAAAACCAAACAAAAATGTATATAATGACCCCCTTTAAAAATATACTATAAGTTAAGAGAAGGCCGGAAACTCCAGATTCGAGCCTACGAGCAAGGGATTCATTTCCCGGGCCGTTGTGAAAACAATTGGCCAGACAATTAAAAAAAACTTTTATCACTATTTCACGTTTATATAAAGCTTCAAAATGAGACCAACCCCAAGTCTGTAGCCCTTCCCGTTCATGAAATATCTATCAGGAAACGAGCGACTTCGTGCTAAAAATCCTTGGTAGACATAATTGCGGCACAACAATTCGGTACGTAAACATAGACTAATACATGTATGTCAGCTGACTATGGGTCAAAATTACTTGAATTTACTAAATAATATTACTAAATACATTAAGTTGAACCACTCACAACCGTCAGTAGCATCTGATACACGCAAAATTCGAATTTCAAACCTTTCCACGGTCTTTAGATTACTTTCTACGCCATTGTCAATCAGCTGTTCGATATTTTGTAACGAGTCTTCTAATTGGCCAATAGCAACGAAAACCGCAACGTTTCACACAAGATGCCTAATGGCGTAGAAAGCGATTGAAAGACCGTGTAAATGTTTGAAAACTCGAATCTCGTGTGTATTAGATGCTACTGACGGTTGTGAGTGGTCCAACTTAATGTATTTAGTAATATTATTTAGTAAATTCAAGTAATTTTCCTGATAGATATTTCATGAACGGGAAGGGCTAGAGACTTGGGGTTGGTCTCATTTTGAAGCTTTATATAAACGTGAAATAGTGATAAAAGTTTTTTTCAATTGTCTGGCCAATTGTTTTCACAACGGCCCGGGAAATGAATCCCTTGCTCGTAGGCTCGAATCTGGAGTTTCCAGCCTTCTCTTAACTTATAGTATATTTTTAAAGGGGGTCATTATATACATTTTTTTTGACACTTTTAAGATGAACACAGGTTTTTTTTTATCAATCTGGTCATATTTTTTTCTTCCCAGGTCCGATACTTTTGCCTGTGCTATAAATATGTACGCATTTACTAAACTTTTCATAACGGTTTTTATACAATTATACTCGTCACAATGGCTATATGTGGGGTATAGATATAAGCTTCGCGTTGTGTCTTGTTTCTATCTTTTTAATATTTTAGTAATTTACAAGTAAAGCGGTAGTGACGTTGATATATACGTTGACGTCATCTTAATTCCCGCCGTCAATACGTCGTTGTTGTTCCCGCCTACACATAGCGTACGTCTTCCCGACATTCTCCCGGCCACGAAATGATTACGATGTAGAAATGATTTCTAATGGGTACAGTTTCATAATAGGTCTCGAAGTGACAAGTCCATTACTCGTGCGTAAAATTTCTGCTCGTGTGAGGCCATCATTACCGTAAATTAACTGCTGGATTACGCCTAGTTTCCACTGCGTTCTTGGTGATTCATCATAAATCTGTACAACGTCGCCAACCTGAACTTTCTGAGTGTTGTTTCCTGTTGTTTTGTGGTACTGACGCAGTGACGTAAGATATTCGTGACGCCATCGTAAGCGATAATGACTGATAAGTTGTGCCTGCATTCTTGCCCTTTTTGTTACCTCAAACATTGTAACATTCTGTGGTTCTGGTGTATTGCCATTATATGGAAGGGATGTAATACGCCGTACATAAAGCAGGTGCGCCGGTGTTAATAGGTCCGGGTCTCCTATATCGGAAGTGACGTAAGTAAGCGGTATGTCGTTCATTATACCCTCAATCTCTGTTATTATTGTCTGGAGGCTCTCGTAACTAATAAATGAACGACCTAAAACTTTCTTGATGGTGGTTTTTGTTAGTCCAATAAGTCGCTCCCACCAACCGCCAAACCATGGTGCTCGCTTAGGTATGAATCTCCATTCAGTACCATGGCTGTGTAGAGCTTCATTAACTGCCGTTGATCTCATGAGTTGTTGAATAGTAATTGCTGCTGCGTTGAATGTTGTTGCGTTGTCTGATATCATTATATTGGGTAGGGATTTTCGACAAGTAAATCTTCTAAACGCTTGGATGAAGCTTTCCCCTGATAAATCTGTTATCAGCTCGAGATGGACAGCTCTTGTTGAAGCGCACGTAAATAGACAAATTTAAACCTTATGCTCAATTCTAGAATTGCTTCGTACATACAAAGCTCCCGAGAAATCAACCCCGGTGACTGTAAATGGAGATGTATCTTGTACTCTAATTTTTGGTAGGGGTGTTGGATCTGGTGCTGTATATGGTTTGCCTGTTACCATTCGACATTGAAAGCATTTCCGGAGAAGGCTTTGTATATACTGACGGATCGATGGTATCCAGTATCTCTGTCGTAAATGTGTGATCAATGCACTTGCGCCTGCGTGAAGTTGGTTCTCATGTGCGTCTAAAACTAGTAACCTTGTGAAAGGATGTTTTGCGGGAAGTAAGTATGGAAATCTGGTGAGTTCTGCTACTGGTGCATTGTGGATTCTCCCGCCACATCGTAGAAATCCATCTTCATAAAGGAAAAGTCGTAAATGTTTCACTAGACTAAGTTGTTTACCATTTGATTTCAGATTATTGATCTCAGCCTGATACTTCAAGAGCTGGGTGCTATGTAGCCACAGTCGTTCAGCCTCTTGTAACTCTTGAACGGTTAAAGGTTCGAGTCTTGACACTCTTCTGTCTCTGTTTCTTGTGCGACAATTATGGATAAAACGTTTCAAATAGGCAGTCTGAGTAGCTTCTTATAGCGACTGAATTTCTTAACATCAATGAGTTGGTGAATTCCTTGAGAGGGCTGTGTGAGGTTCGAACACCTTTCATGGTTTAAATCATCTTCTTCATTTTCGGTTGTTGTCAACAAAATGGCATTGTCATTTGGTTGCCAGCTAGGCCAACTATTAATGTCAGGAAGCCATTCTGGTCCGTTATTCCACAAGCTGCTTTTCTGGTATTCCTTGGCTGACAAACCTCTTGTTAATAGGTCGGCTGGATTCTGGTCTGTTGGACAATACCTCCACTTCCGGTTCTCTGTAATTTTGTGAATCTCCATGACCCTGTTCTGTATAAATGTCTTCAACTTCCGATTAGTTGCTAACCAATGAAGAACTATTTGGCTGTCAGACCATAGGTAGACTGAATGTGCTGGTATATACTTAAACACATGGTTTGTAAGACGGGCTCCAATAACCGCAGCCATAAGTTTGAGTTTCGGTAGTGTCAATTGCTTAAGTGGTGAAACACGAGTTTTCGACATGACCAATGTAGACTGTTTGCCTTTGACGATGTATGCCACTGATCCATAGGCTTGTAGACTTGCATCGCAAAATACATGAAGGGCAGTTGTATCATCTGCTAGTTCTGTCTGGTTCCCTACATTACCGGAAGTGATTTTTATGTCTGCTTTATCAAAGTAGTATCTTTGAAATTTGTTCGTAATTGTACCATTGATATCTTCTGCTATATTCTGCCACTGTGTCTGTATGGCTTCCGGAAGTGGTGCGTCCCATTCGTAATTCTCTTTCCATATGACTTGTAGTAGGAACTTAGCTCTTATCGTTATTGGGCTGAAGAATCCAAGAGGATCATACAATTTCGCCGTTTCTTGGAGTATGGTGCGTTTTGTCATCGGATTGAGCCTATTTATAGATCTCTGGTTCAAAAATATCTGATCATTAATAGCATCCCATCTCATGCCTAGACTCTTCGTAATTTCGTCTGAATCATGTACTATGTCGTCTGCTTTGGAAAGCGCGCGCAAATGACAGCTGTTTGAATTCCAGGAACGCAGATTAAAGCCAACAGTTGACATCAGGTCTCTTGTATCGTGATAATATATTTAATAACCGTGCTTTCATCCGGAAAACTAGAGATAACATTGTCTACATATAAACCGTTTTTCAGTATTTCACTCACCCATTTGTTGTTGTTGTTATCAAGGTGCTTCATAAGTGTACCTTGTAGGATAAACGGTGAACATGTAGCTCCAAAGAGAATAGATTTGAACCTGTAAGTTACCAAATTACTATCTGGATTGGTACTGTCACTTAACCACAGGAATAGGGTGACGTCACGATCTCTTTCGTCAAGTTGCACGTGCAGGAATGCCTTCTCAATGTATGTCGAGACAGCAAATCTGTGTAAGCGAAATCTCATAAGTATATTGGTTAAGTCATTTAATTCCGGGGGTGTCGATTCTAAACAATCGTTCAGACTAGGGGAATCTTTATTCTGGCGGCAACTACAGTCATATACTATTCGGATTGGGGTGGTGGCTGAATATTTTTTCACACCGTGATGTGGGATGTAGTGAACTCTTTTATCTATATTGTCGTCTGTAACTCCCTCGATAAAGCCTCGATTTTCTTGTTCTGAGATAATTTGGCCATACTTCTGTAACATGTTTGTATCTTGTCATAGGCGCCGGTTTGTATTTTCCGTTCTTTTAATAACAATGTTATAATTGTCAGGTAACACCGGATGGTCACGTTTCCATGGTAACTGTGCTGAATAACGTCCGTCTTTGAATTCAATGCATATTTCCTGATATGTTGCCAGGTAGTCGGAGGTAGATTCATCTTCTTTTTCAGGCTGAATACCTAGAGACTCTAACTTCCAGAAACGTTCTAGGTCATGTGTATCTGGCTTAGATATTAATACATTTAATATGCAGTCTGTAGCGGTATCAGTAGAAGAAACCGGAAGAGGACCGGAAAGCAAGTATCCTATCTTGGACTGGACAGCTGTGGGACCATTACCACGGATCACTCTATTACTGACAATATCCCAGTACTTATCTGCACCAATTAGAAGTGATATATTGAAAGTGTCGTCATCTGTAACCAGATGCGCAAGTTTAAGCCCACGAAGATACGGAAGTGCTGTTGTGGCTTGATGTACGTTTCCTAGGGGGACGAAAATAGTTGGGACAATCAGGACATCTATAGCTATCTTTTCTTTGGTATCAGTTAACAAATATACTGTTGCGGTATCAATGTGGCTTACTTTCTTTGAAGATGAACCAAATGCTGCAAGCTCTAAGACTTCTGTTCCCGTTCTTCTGAGTTCGAGTCTTTCTGCAAGTTCCCTTGTTACAAATGACCTCTGTGCCCCTTCGTCAAATAAAATGTTAACATCTGTACAAATGTTACCAGATGCAACTCCAGATGTTACTTTCGCAAAAGCGGTTTTCAACAAAACTTTAGGTATAGAATGTGTAGTGCGGAATGATCACTGGGACCGGAAATGATTTTGGAACCGGAAGTAGCTTGATCTCTTAAACCTTGAGTGTAACTTGGGGCTGTAGCATTCAAATTACTATGTTGGGTTAATAGCTGGGGATTACTGTCACAGATGCTAGTGTGGTGTTTTCGCTGACAAAAACGGCATCGATGGTTCGATTTACATGTAGTTACTTGGTGGCGTCCTAGGCAATTAAAACATAACTTTTTCTCTTTTACAATTTTTTTACGTTCAACAGTATTTGTTACCTTCCTACAGTCATTTGCTAATTGATGGTCGCCGCAAAAAACGCATCTCGGACGTTCCGCTCTCTTTTCATTTGTCGTCTGCTGCTTACGTGCCCCATTCGGATGAAATCGTGTCCCCGTAAGGAATGAAGCGGTAGCGTTATGAACTTCACCTGTATGTAAAGATTGACCTGACTCCAGAATAGCGATCTCCTTTTTCAATGCTTGTTGTAGTTCCGGAAGTTGCCAGTTACTGTTTCCATGGTCACGAGTCATGTTGCGTTTAATTTCAGCAGGAAGTTTCTCTAATACCACAGGGACAAGTAAATTACCGTAAGAGTCTTGACCTTGACCAAGTGACTGCAATCCTCTACTCCATTTTCTCTTGAAAATTTCGTAAACTATTAATGTCAGAGAAAGGACGGGGTAAATCTAATAAACACTGCATGTAAGCGTTTATAATCTTGTGTTCCTGTCCGAAACGTTCTCTCAGTAACGCAACTGCTTGTGTATAGTTTGAATGCGTTAACGGAAATCCCTGAATCACTCTAGCTGCATCGTCGTGGAGTAAAGATCTCAGATATGTGAACTTCTGTACGTCAGATAAAGATACGTTATTGTGCACACTTGACTCAAACGAATCCCAAAATGTCTGCCATTCTAAAATGTTGCCGGTAAATATAGGTAGCGTAAGTTTCGGCAGTTTGTGAAAATGAGAATACTGTCCGTTATGTATAGAAATGTCACTTACATGTCCATCGGAAGTACTTTTGGTCGTGTTACCGGAAGTGTTCTCGGAATGATATGCGATGTTGGCACTGTTATTCATAGGCGGCTCATCTAGCGGGGGATCTACGGGATTGAGCAGCGGCGGTGGTATAACATTACCGGAGGGTTGTCTCTGTTCTGCTTCCAAGTTTCGGATTCGAATCTTTAAATCTAGCATGAAATCTTCTGTTTCCACCATCTCAACTTCGAAATCATCCTCGTCGGTTAGAGTAATAATCTTCTCATTAAGCTCTTCAAGTGCTGCAACTTTAGACTGTAAATTATGAAATATCGTCTGGAACTGAACGCAATCATCAGTAGAATCTTCTAACTTCTGTAAATGTCTGGAAATAACAGCTTTCTGAGCGTCTCTCTTCTTTTTTTAGCTTATTAAGATCCATGTTTGTCTGTAATTTCTCACTAGTTCGTCACGGCACCAAAATGTGGGGTATAGATATAAGCTTCGCGTTGTGTCTTGTTTCTATCTTTTTAATATCTCAATAATATACAAGTAAAGCGGTAGTGACGTTGATATATACGTTGACGTTATCTTGATGCCCGCCGTCAATACGTCGTTGTTGTTCCCGCCTACACATAGCGTACGTCTTCCCGACACTATACATACAAAAGATGCCAAAACATACAAAATGTAGAGGATTATTTTTCTTGTTTTTAAAATGTTTAAAGATATTAGAATTTAAAATTTCCCTTTTAAACAAATTTTATTACCAATTTTATTTTTTAATTAAAATTAACTTTTATTTTTTATTTCTACGACATTTAATTTCTCAAAAAAAATAAATATTTTTTAAAAAATTTTTTTGTAATTGTACTTTTTTTAACCGACAATCTAAACATTTAATTTATTTATGGGTTTAAAGAAATTTTAAAAGGGACTAAATTAGCAAATTATAGTAATAACCTAGGGAGATATCAGACAATTATATGTTTCATAAAAGGTTGCTTAAATCATTGTTTGTTAAAAAAAATTGCTTATTATTTTGTGGATTATTTTGCTTCATTTAATTAATTTTTTTTTATCTAAACAGCTTTTGTTATATTATACGACCTATGAAGCATAAGCACCTTTTAAGTCAAGTGTTTTTGTGGGACAATTCTAAAGGTAATGCAAACAGCAAATTACCAAAATTACCAAACTGTAAAAATAAACCTTTTGTACGAAAGAAGATGAAGGGATTAGATCTTTTTTGAAAATCCAATATGGAGGGGAAGTCCTATTTAGGCCGTTATTCCTTTTGATAATTCTTACCGCTCACCTTTACTGAAATGACTACATAAATTATTGACATTTAAGTATAGGGTTAGATATCATTAGTATTTAAACTCAGCCTTGTCTCAAAATTGAAATACACCATTATGTCTGTGTGGACATAACGGTGTTTGTAATCGTTAAATAAAGGTTAAAATTTATTTTTTAAACTACCGTCAGTTTCTCTTAGCAAATTTTATTGATGACAAGAACGGAGAAACACTAAAGTGCGATATTAGTTTAGATTAGGGAAATGATACATTGATATTGATATATTATCTTTTTCTGTTTGCCTGCAACATTTCTTTTACTTCAAATATATTAACATTGAAATAAGTTGTCCATTTCTTCCTGAAATAACGTCGTTGCCCTCAATTAAGTATCACATTCCCGTTTGATGTTTGATTGCTATGTGCGACTGAATTGTTGTGCGTGTGTGTTGTGCCCGTCTCTCTCTGAAACAGTTTATATTTGAGAAAACTGCGAATATTTAACATAGAGTGGACATTTTTCCCCTTAATTCAGATTCATGTTCAAAGACTTCAAATGAAACAAGCAGCAAATGATCCGCTGTTGAAGTTGAAATTTTTCACAGAAGGACACAGCGTTTACCTATATTAGTTGAATTTGACGATTTAAGTTGAAAAATCTATGCTGAATAAATCTTAACGATATCGGGACTGAATTGTTGAAATTGTAATTTTCTGGCTTTTTCAGAATGGTCTTTGTTGATCTTGCTTTTTATAGGCATCTTTTGTAACGGTCATTAGGGTATATGTTTTACTTACGATAGAATGATCACTTCTGTGTCCGAACGTTACCATAGCAATTGTGAAACATTAATTTTGAAAAAAAATATATACTTTCTGATAATATAGGATCATATTGATATACACTCACTTGTATGTAGACTCTAATCCAATGTAATTACCGTCATGCACCGGTTAACAATTTATTTGTTCAATTGACCAACTGACAAACATGAATAAGGTTAAAATTATAAAGATAAATGATTAAATTCATTATTTATTTGCATTTTTTGAACGACGTACATTTAGCCAGGAAGTTGCATTTATTGTACTTTTTACTGATAAATTTTACAGGTGTTGTTCTTTTTCGCTGATATAACTTCCGTTGTCAACAGCAACAGCTACAGAAGCTTAGTAAACACAGTTTTAAGCAATGTTTCTTTAAAAGTATAAAACATATAGCGATTCCATGTTACTTGTCATCTTTATAAACATTATATGTATTGATTTAAGTATCATATATTGTGCAAACTTTCATAGAACTTAGGCTAAAGAATTGTTGATGTTCGTTTTGTTGATTGATAACATTCTTTGTGTATGAAAATGATCGTTTCTAAACTTCAAATGATAAGTTATCGAATGTCGATCATTGTCCACCGACCGAAACGTACGATTGAACATTGTTCAATCTGTTTTGTGTTCGTTTTCTCAGATTTTGTAAAATTAGCCCTGAAAACGATCAAATTCAGTCAGATTTCATTAGCCTTCGAATAGTCTCATTATTGACATTGTCTTCTGAACCACTATTTTATTTAATGTTAAGGGAAATTATTACATAGACTTTAGATTAAAGATAAAAGTTTTGCATTTAATGAATTATTACCTAAGGATTATTGATAAGGACTTTAGATTTATATTTCAAACTATAACGGTCACTGACTCGACCAAACTTTAAACTTTTGATTTCACGTTTTAAAGAGAAATTAATTGGCAGACGCGGTCATAATTTACGGGAAGTTTATAAGAAGTAGAATAACACTTAAATACTTATTAAATAAATAAACTGTGAACAGTCTTTCTTATTTGTGATTAAAGTTTTATCTACCAAGAAGTAAGGAATTATTCGAAAGTACTGTTGAGTATAGT